GGTCTACAGACCAGGGGGACGGGGGAGTAAAGCCAAGCCGCGGAGCGCGTGGGCAGCGGACAGCCCTGTCCGCTGCCCACGTGTTCCGCCGCTTTGCTTTCTCTCCCTGGTCTGCTGGAGACCAGGGAGAGGAACCCCGTTCGTAACTGCGGATCCGACATAAGTCGGATCCGCGTAACTCGGGGACTGCCTGTACTGAGCATTTTGGAGTTATTGTTATTTCTCTTTATGCTGTGTTCCAAATTTTGCAATATATTGGTTAAACTAATTTCATAGACTATCATTATTGGGTTAAGATCTCGCCGGTGATTGAGATACGGCATATCAGGGGAACCTCACTTCTGGGGCAGAGACATTTACCATCCCTCAGATCCAAAGGGCAGCTAAATTATTCACAATTAATAGTGTTGCTGAGTCTCTGGTAACAGGTTAATCCCATCTTCCTTATTTTTAGCATGTAGCCCAGCCGTGGCCAACCCGAGGCTCGTGAGCCATATGTGGCTCTTCCCACCCCCAGGTACAGTTCACAAAGCCCCCCCGGGCTCGTAAGCCTCCCTCACACCCCCAAAAATGGCCCTCTCCTCCCAGCTGGGAGGTTGTCCAGCACGGCCATGAAAGATGCAGAATTAAAGATGGTGGCAGGAGCTGGCTGTGGTGAAAATGCCTCAAAACGCGTTTAAGTGCATTTTCTTAAAGGGGCATAGCTTTTTTTTGTGTGTGACCAAATGTTCCCCGGGGGCTCCTTTTAAAGGGGCAGCCCCCTTTTTTTAAACTTTTCCCCGGCTCTTTGCACTGGATCCACTGCTATCTTGGCTCTTTCCCACTCCTGATGTAGCCTAACTAGCCACATTTACTCCTGGAGGTCAGATTAGGTAAAATAAGCACTACCTGCAAAGCCTTGCTATTGTGGGGGTAAGACAAGCCAAAGAATATGCCAACAGTGATACTTGGAACTTTATAGGGAATAGGGTTGTCAATTAATCAGTTAACTCGTGATTAACGCAAAACATTAATTGGGATTAAAAAAATAATTGATTAATCACTCTGTAAAACAGAATACCAATTGAAATTTATTAAATATTTTGGATGTTTTTGTACACTTTCAAATATATCAATTTCTGTTACAACACTGAATACAATCTGTACAGTGCTCACTTACTATTTTTACAATACAAATATTTGAAATAAATATCTTTTACCTCATGCAAGTACTGTAGTGTCAACTTTATTGTGAAAATGCAACTTAAAAATGTGTGTCTTTTGTTTCATAACTTCACTCAAATTAAACAATGTAAAATGTTAGCACCTATAAATCCACTCAGCCCTACTTCTTGTTCAATCAATTGCTCAAAGAGGTTACAATTTGCAGGATATAATAATCCTTCCCACTTGTTATTTACAATGTCATCTGAAACTGAACAGGTGTGTTCATTTTGAAGCTCGAGTTGCAAAGTATTTAGATGCCAGATATGTTAAAAGTTCATAAGCCCCTTCATGCTTTTGCTACCATTCCAGAGGACATGATTCAATGCTGATGATGCTTGTTTAAATGTGGTGTTTAAATTTGTGATTGAACTTCTTCGGGAGGAATTATGTCTCCTGTTCTGTTTTACCAACATTTGGCCATATATTTCATGTCACACTAGTCTTGGATGATGACCCAGGATGTGTTTGTTTTAAGAAGACTTTCACAGCAGATTTGACAAAACACAAAGAAGGTTCCAATGTGAGATTTCTAAAAATAGCTACAGCACTCAGTCCACAGTTTTAAAGAAATTGAAGTGCTCTCCAAAATTCTAGAGGGGCGGCATGTGGGACATACTTTCAGAAGTCTTAATAAGCAACACTATGATGCAGAAGCTACAGAACTGACCCACCAAAAAAGAAAGTCAATCTTCTATTGGCAGCATCTGACTCAGATGATTAAAATGAACATGCATTAGTCTGCTCCTCTTTAAGATCTTTATAGAGCAGAACTCCTCATCAGCATGGATACACATCCCCTGGAATGATGGTTGAAGCATGATAGGACCCAGGAATCTTTAGCACATCTGGCCAATAAATATCTTGTGACACTAGCAACAACAGTGCCATGCACAAATGCCTGTTTTCACTTTCAGGAGACATTGTAAATAAGAAGCGGGCAACATTATCTCCTGGAAATTGTAACCACCCTGTTTGTCCGAGCGATTGACTGAACAAGTAGGTCTGTGTGGACCTCTAAGCTCTAAATTTTTACATGGTTTATTTCCAAATGCAGTTATTTTTGTACATAATTCTGCATTTGTAAGTTCAACTTTCACAATAAAAAGATTGCATGACAGTACTTATACTAGATAAATTGAAAAACACTGTTTTCTTTGGGGTTTTACAATGCAAAGACATAGATTCTGACCCAGGTTCAATCCCAGATATAGCCCGATAAGCTTAGACAGAAAGAATGGATCCAGAACAAAGTGGCACAGATGTGTTTGGGGACGGTTACTGGGAGACGTATATTTTGAGAGGATTTGAATGAAGAAGGGGAGACTATTTGGTGCCTGGGACCAAGTACCAAATATAAAGAGTGGCCAAATATGAAGGCCCAGAGGCCAGCATCAGGAAGGAGTGCCTTGGGGTGGGGAGATTAGAAAGAAGGCTTGGGAGAAAGGATGGGCAGCCAGAAGGGGAAAGGAGAAATGAGAGGAAGGATATTGGTATGGGAGGGTTGCATAGTGCCTTGGTGGGGAGGGAAAAACCTGTGAGTTTTCTGTGGAGGAGAAGAGGAGTCCAGGGAGAGGCATTCAAAGCAGTGGAGATATGAGTTGAGTAAATTGGTCTGTAACAATTTAGCAAACCAACTATTAGGTCATTTCAGTGTGGGTTCTCTGTCTTGCCTGCTGTTGCTCATGGTCACACCTCCACAAGGGTTCAGGTTCTTCACCCACATAACCATGAGCTCATAGGGTTTTTTTGTATTTCCTTTTTCCTTTTTCAATTGAAATTGCTTTCTATGGTTATCGGAGGGGGAAAAAAAGTCCCCTGAGAGTTGATGCCTATGACAACATCGTGAAGCAGGTTAACCAGCCAAAAAGAACAGGTGAAGGAAATACCCTGTGAAAGGCAAATGGAACACACCCATATATGACTTTCCGGAGATCATGAGCAGACGTTATAAGCCGGTTGTCAGTGGCCAAAGCAATCAGAGCGAAGCAGCTGATTGTCTGATATATCTGAAGTGAAGCTTTAAGGGAACTCACCTATTGAACTTAAAATGACTAGCTTTAACAGGATGAGCTTTATCCTGGCTTCTTTGCTGGGGCTGCTGTGCCTCTTCTGCACTTCTGAGGGTGAGTCATGTTTGTTTTTGGGCCACAGACATAAATACCCATAGAGAGTATGATTATTCTATTGAATAACCTGAGCTTGGAAGGCAGCAGCAGGTCTCCTAGGGCACTACACTACTGTGCAGGATGTTCTCCCCTCCTGTCTTTAATTTAATTTGGTAATTAATTCATTTCTCTTATAAAATGCCAGAGAATAGATATAGTATGAATCCTGGCTGTGCAAGCTTTTCAGCCAAACTCAACCCTCCTCTGGACATCACCTCTTGGGTAGCTCAGTCTCTGTGCATAGCTAGTTCTAATTGCCACCGCTAACAATACCAGCTTAGGTGTCAGTACTGAACACTGAGGGGTTATTTGCTGCTATTTTTATTTTTAAATCTTGTCATGGTGAACATTACTATTGCTACAGATCTGGCTTAAACCCCTTCATGGAGGCGATTACATATCTTTAGTTTGAGGGCTTTGTTCCATGTACAGGATGAGAATTCACTCATTTGCAACACATTCCCCTATTTCAGCCCAAAGCAATCAGGACTGCTGCCTTTCCTACATGAGAAGTGAGCTGCCTCGTCGGGTCATCACTGGCTACATGGAGCAGCTATCAAATGAAGTCTGTGACATCAGTGCTATTATGTAAGTTACTAACTGAAAGAGCATTAGTTGCAATGGGCCACTAACTATACTTACATTACAGGACTTAGTCTTTGAACCTATACTAGATGAAGGGAGAAATGGCTTTAAACATCATAAATAAATTGTATTTCCTTATTTGGATCTATGAAATATAATCCCATAGAATTCATTTAAAGTAGCAATAACTTTTATGCCTGTAGGACATAAATATCAGGAAATTGCTTGACTCACATTCTTAACAGTATGCTTTACGTGTAAGTCCTGCATGTTTTGAAATGCGAGGCGAAGGTACAGACTGTGGCAAAGGTGCCGCATGTTGGCAGTATGAGACCTGCTTCATATTACTGGAGCATGAATGTCTATGCAACAGTGATCATTATTCTGAACTGTTCTTTCATGGTTAAATGAAAATCTTCTACCTGTATTTTGGCGTGGAGCATCTATATTATTCATTTTGTTCTACTGAATTAGAATTCTGTGGAATGCAGCTTTTTATGGCTCAGTTGCAGCATCTTATTGTAATTATTCTCCCTATCTTTCCTTCCAGTTTCCACACAAGGAATGGGTTGAAAGCATGTGCAAATCCAGAAGACAACTGGGTGAAGATGCGTCTTCTTTGGCTGAGGTAGAAATGCTTTCAAATCTCTTAGGCTGGCTAGAACCGAGTGTGACTGAGTATCCACTGACAGTGGCAGACCTAAGCTCTTACAGAGGAGGGGGTGTGGCTGGCATGGCTGGGCACTTTTAAAACATTTTTTGTCTTGGCTTGTTTTTCTTGTCCAGAGCAGAAGGGGGTGTTGGGAGCATGTTTATTTGAGGACCTGATAGGGTGAAAAGGGAGATGGGTGTTCCATTTGCCCCTCGTCCCAAATAAGATAATGCCTTAGGTTGCAAATATAGTAATGGAGAAGAGAAATGCCCATTTCATACCTTTAACCAAGCTTGTTGCTGATGTAAATTCATGCAAGTGAGTGAGTGCTGTGGAGTTGCACCTGTTTACACTTGCAATACATTTGGCCCTCTAACTAAAGCAGAAACAGAAGCTTATCCATGCTTTTTTCTATTTTTTTACAGCAAAAAGCTCAAGAAGATGTCAATGTAAGACCGTTTCTGAAATGGAACTAGGTTCTGCAGCCCACCATCTTATCTAACCTAGGTTAGAATCTTTTTGTTGTACACTGTTGTGTGCTTGCTATCTACTTATTGCTGACTTCTTTGGAACCATTGACCTACAGAAATTGATTCATATTGCATCAATAGTTTGCTTGAATTAAGCACTATGTAATGTTTTTGTTTCCTTTCCTGCCATATATATTACTTGTTTAATTACTCTGTTAAATAGAATATGTTATCCATGTACTGTGTGGGTACTGTGTGCCCTACTGTGTTTAGTGTACTGTATATTTTTAGCTAATAGCACAAATAAAAGATGGCATTCTGTTCATGTCTTTTTTTTTGTCTAAAAGCTTTCCCCTAAATTTCTAGTGGTGTTGAAAAGTAGTATATGCCAAAGTGAATATTTAATATAAAGACAGCAGATGAAACTTAAGTATTGTGTGCTTAAAATGCAAAGGTTTGAGGGGGAATACATGGAGATTATGAATATGCTAATATAACATTACATTAACCACCACCCCAAAAGTTACCATATTTGATTAGTAGCACAAAAGTTCAGGAATAGGAAGCACAGCAGACTGCTATATGCACTATGTACAGGGAAGCTAAGCTGTGACTAGCCATGGAAAGAGAGTTGCTTCTCCATCACAAGAGTGCTTGTTGAAGATCAGTGGGGTGGGGGAGTGCAGAAGGATTTTCTGTGATGTTGCCACGAGTCCCCAATTAAGTATGTTCATCTCCCTATACAATTTAATTGACTAGTTCAATAAAGAGTCCAACCTTCTTTTCCTATGCAGAAGAACAATACATAATATCATATGAACTACTCAGGTCACACCAGAGCACTAGTGAAGGCTTAAAAGATGCTATTGGTGAAGCTGTTCATAAAGCTTCACTGTTTCTATGTTGCCAAGGCATGATTTTGAGTCTCTCAATATTTGGTACATTTCTTAAAGCCCTAGTCCCTGGAGTCCTTTGATTAAATGAGAATCTCATTTCATATGGTTTAAAAAGTGATTTTCTAGCCTCATGGTTACAGAGAAAAGCTTGCAAACATGACTTAAAGCCAAAAGGCCAATAAAAAGAACCATCCATTTATTATTTTTAAGCCAATCTCATTACTTTGGGAGAAGCCTGACTCATAATAGTTGAACACTTGAAGTTAACATTTACCGCAGCTCCAAGGTTATGTCCCTAAAATGGAAAAAACTGCAATGGACACCACTTGCAGTGATAAGGTATGATGACTGGAATTACCAGGTACAATAGAACCTCAGAGTTATGAACACAGAGCTCATTCAGAACTGAACATACAAAATCAGGTGATAGTGGAGGTTTTTACCCCCCTTCCCCAAAAAGTAAATATAGCACAGTGCAGTGTTAAATGTAAACTACAAAAAAAAAAAAAAAGCAGAATGTTAACTCTCCATAGTAAAGCTTCAAGACTGTATTAAGGCAATGTTTAGTTGTAAACTTTTGAAAGGACAACCGTAATGTTCAGAGATACAAACATTTCAGGGTTATGCGCAACCTCCAATCCTGAGGTGTTTGTAACGCAAAGGTTTTACTGTAATCTAAGTATTGCAGTCCTAGTTCATGCGTAGTTTTGCCTATTTTTCCCTTCTCCATGTCAACAAATATTAGAGGAGCATTGCCTCTTGATGATGTGGGAGACTGATCAGATATCACAGTAACTGAGCCTATGCTAGATGCACATATAGCCATAATTACAGGACACTGACTCCTAGCCTTTGTAAGAGTGAAGAGATTAGTTAATACACCATGAACACCACTAGATACTATTTAGTTTAAAGCATGCACTGAAATGAGTTTAACAAACATAGCACATGTGCCCTTAATACTGTCTGGGGCCTTTAGTCATTCATGTAATACAAATTATTATCTCTTCCATGGTGAAGTAGTGCCTGCCTTAAAGCCATGAGACAACAAAGTCCTTGTCTGTTGTGCACAATACTTAATTTCAGATCTCTTCATTCACTTTTGGAGATGGAGAGAAAAGCAAAAATGTGGTTAAATGCCTAATTAAATTCTGAAATGACAACTTGTGAACTGTGCTCAAGTGTGCTGATGGAGACAGTAGAGACAGAGGCCATCCACTATACAATAACTGTTCAAATGAAAGCAGATGTATGTGGCGCCTTGATAAACTTGTCACCATCCAGCCAGCAATGACATCTTTGCAACACTGTAAGGGTATGTCTACACTACCACCCTAGTTCGAACTAGGGTGGTAATGTAGGCAACCGGAGTTGCAAATGAAGCCCGGGAAATTCAAATCCCGGGCTTCATTTGCATGTAGCCGGGCGCCGCCATTTTTAAATGTCTGCTAGTGCAACGTCCGTTCCACGACGAGTACAGCTAGTCTACCTAGTCCGTGCCGCGTGTAGCCGCGCGGCACGGAGTCCGCACTAGCGTACATTTAAAAATGGCAGCGCCCGGCTTTATGCAAATGAAGCCCGGGAAATTCAAATCCCGGGCTTCATTTGCAACTCCGGTTGCCTACATTACCACCCTAGTTCGAACTAGGGTGGTAGTGTAGACATACCCTGAGATAGGTATAAGTCTAGTGAAATTACCTATGCAGTGGTGGGAATGGTGAAATAGGAATCTGAAAGACATAGCAAGAGAAAGTCCTGCATCAGGAGTACAGAAGATACTAAGTTGGTAAATGTCACTGCTCACTCAAATTTGGCAAGAGTGGTTGCAGTAGGAATCTTTTTGATAAAGCAGGATGTCAGAAACAGAAATCAAAATGGTCATGCAAATCTTTGCTCTGCATAGCTCTAGACATGCCTGCTTGGGCATGCTAAGCTCTGGTTTTAACAAATTTCGCCAAAGCTGGAGCTGGTCAGAAAACAATCTGTTCTATGGGGAAATTCTGACACTGATTTAATTCCAAAACAGAACAAAAAAGTCAAACTTTCATAATTTCTCACAGGACAGAAATTCTGATTAATTTTGATTGAAAGCCATTGAAATATTTTGTTTTAATAGTTTGAATTATTTTGTATTGATAATGTAAAAATCTATAGAAATTATACAAAGTATCTATGTGCATAATCCACTACAATTAATATTTAATATATTACAAAAGTCTGTCACATCTATCAAAATGATACTTAAACAAAATGAGTCAAAACTATTTTTGTTTTTCCTTTTTCCTATTGAAAATTTCATTGGAATTGCCACATCCCCATTTTGATTTCAACAAAACTGCACTTTCAGGTAGAAAACTATTTTGCTGAAACTTTTTTGACTTTTCATGAATCAAATAGCTGTGGTGCCCTTCACAAGGGGTCTGCGATTCTCATACCACCAATGCCTATGTAGGCAAAATACCCAGCATGCATAATAACCATTTATTTTCCTTATTAAAAGGGCTGTCATCGTCCAGGCTTGGGCCTGCACAGGCTCCAACCATAGAATGGCTGAGCAAAGACACTACAGCTCTTCATGACGTGGGTCAGCCTTGGTATCCTGAGTGTGTATCACAGCGCTCCCCTCGAGCAGGGGTCTCCATTCCTTTCTGATTTGGACCACAGAAGGAACAAGGAAGGAAGCAATAAATTATCACAGGAGGAGGTAAGTTGTGTATTTTATTGATAGTTTAGAGCCTTCTCTGTTTCTTGCTCCTCTGCTCAGCAGCCAGGTAGTATTAAGAGAGGGAAGAAAGCTTTCCTATACAAAAGCATCTAGAAGGGGAAGCCACCTGAGAAACCAGTGAAAGAGTTCAACTAGGAATGTGTTGAACTAATCTGACTGGTTGGAGAAGGGAGAACAGGTGTCCAGGGCTAGAGGATGTGGGGAGCACCATGATGATCTTTTCAGGGGACTATCACTAGCCCATATTAATTGCATCCCACATGTACCCATTCACATGCACAGAAGTTGGTTATGGGTTTTTGTACACAGAGGGAAAAAATATATTTTCAGAATGACTTATTTGAAGAAACAACAACACATAAAAAACAAAAGTTGAGTTTCCAGAATAGAGTACAGTTTGTCTCCTGTATAACATGCTATCAAAATGGCAACTACCTATCCAGGCAACAGACTCATAGAAAATGTAAGGTGCATTATGCAGAAATACAACTGTTAATTACATAGCTGCATACATTGCAGGATGTAGCCATGATTAACATAACTGAAATATATATGAACAGACTCCTCAGAAAACTTCCTGAATCTCTGATAAGGCACAAGGGAAGTGTTTGTGTGGGTGCATTACAGGGCAGTAGAAGTGGGGAATTCCATTCCCAAACAAATGGACCCTATAAATGACCTAGGACAAAACTCCCTCTGGCTATTTCATTTAACAAGGCAGATGTACAGAAGTGACATTATGCAATCATTCATATGGGAGGGGACAACATACAGGTCATAAAAAAGCGGATGGCTCGTCACATTCTTCTATTAGGGCTACTAAAACCCCCATAGAAAAAGCTCTTTATACCCATGACTAACACAGCAGAAATAGGAAGTGGCTTTTTGAAATCTTCCTCTTGCTCAATTTACCCTTGGGATTTTATGATTTAGTTCAGAATACCACACAGTGACCTACTTGAAAGCAAGTGGGTCACAATACAACTTTAAATCAGGAAACCTAAAAACCACCCTCCTCTTCAAGCTGGGTTACATATGAGTAAGAAACACTTTCTTATTTATTCTTTCCCCTAAGAGTTACACTTCAGCTTAAGTACATACACGTTTTTGGAACATGAACTGAACTGGCAGAGAGCTGAAGAGGTAGGGAAGGCCTCTGGGGGATATTGCTCATTGTAGTTGTATTATTTCCCCCTCTTCCAATCAAATTCAATTGTTCTCATTGCTCTGGATGTGTTTATTGCAACCTTTCAAAGGTTTTTAAATACTGATGGGTGACAAGGTTTATCAAGTTTTTTGCCTTTCCTGAAGCACTGACACAGGCCGAAGTGCAAAAGCTGTGAACAAGAAGTTAATCTTGCA